TTCTGAGACACATCAAAATGTCCAATAAAGTGTCTGAGCTAACATACCAGCAGACAGATCAGCTTTCCGCAGAGAGACGTGTCATTGTGTCAGAGAACAACTGCAGGACCGTCATATGTCTGAGGTCATTTAGAGCCAGGGTGACAATTACACACAACTGGGCCAGTTCAAGTTTCTACTATAAAACATTCTATCCTCAATGCCTTCAGTGCAACAGAACAACTGTTTATTGTGTATTGTGAAATTATTTATCCTTTACGTGTTACCTGACAAATTTGACACAAAATTCTGTATTACTTTGGCTGTTTTTATGGTTATTCCTGCGATTTGTTTTCTTTTCTTTTCTTTTCTTTTGCGAGGAAAGACGATCAGGCAGTGGAAAAACCCACACATGACTTTGGCTCAAACTGTAGCAAATAATTCTCCACAGCTGTAAGTTGAGATCCTCATTTTCACCGCTGAGGTTTGGTAATAAAGTTTGTGACTGGCCCCAAGTTTCCAAATGTGAAGCTTGAGCCCGCAGCACGAAACGCTTTCACCAACACTCACCATGTGTTGCTGGCATGGCAACATTTTAGATTTGATAATCATATGTGAAACAACCTAAATAAAAACTTTAATACCTAGTGTCCAGAGTATGGATTTCTGCAAATATTTTTATGCTACTGATCGTAAAAATGTCTCACAAAGAGGTGGACATATCCATTCACTGTCGGATACCAAGCAACCACATTTGAATGTAGTCCCGACCGCTGATGTTATGAGTTTTCCTTTTAAGATGTTTTCCTGATGGACATATTATGAACAATTCTGCTAGGGTTAGAAATAAAAACTACATGGACACGGTTCAAAATAAAAATATGTTGGATCAAAATGTAATTTTCCTGGATAACTTGTCTTTTAAGCCTTGACCATTTGACTAAATCCATAAGAATATACTGGGCCAAAATGCATTGCTTTGAAAGCTGTGCTAGGTGGCACAAATATACATAATGACAGATAGATAGATAGATAGATAGATAGATAGATAGATAGATAGATAGA